AAAATAAATAAATAAATAAATAAAATAAAACCGGACCATGGGGACCATCATGGGCAAGAACACACAGGCAAATTTTGTTGTTGTGATAGCAACAGTCTCATTAGCTTTGATTGAGTTCAATTTACCTATCCATGTCTTTGCTGCAGGTAATATTCCTCAGATAAAATTGGTGTATCACAACTTTCTAACTTTAGATTTCTTGTTTGATTTTTTTTCTGTCTGTACTGCTGAGTGTTTTCCACTGTGACTTGAGGCCAAGGTCCCATTTCTCAAAGCATCTTAGTGAATGCATTCATCGGCACATTTTATATCCCAGCACTGCTCTGAGTACCCTCAAATGCTGTTGGCACAAATAAGCACAATATTTCATTCAAAGGCATATGTTTGTACCCAAAGCTTCAATGGTTGAAGTAGTCAGATGGAGGTTTTGCAGAGTTTTCAAGTTCAGGTCTGTTTACACCATCCACACCAATGGTTCCCAAACTTTCAGCCTGTGCCTCAAAAAATCAAGGTGCCAGAGACCTGCAACCCCCATTAAGAGCAGAGTTGGTTGAATCATAGAAAGGATATGTATTTGAGCTTGTTAGCAAAAGAAAAAGAAATCTGTAACATGCACATCTCTGTATTTTGGACCTTGGCTACCAGTGTAGGATGCAACATGGATAATTAATTACAAGTGTGGCTGACTGTGTTGTCTTTGCTAACAGCTGTTAGCAGTTAAATTCTGCATTTTACAATGAAACAACTGTTTACATGTGTAGTAGACGAGCTATTATTTAAGCAATCTGTGACAATTCCCGGTGTCCTGCATGCCGCGCCGTGCACACTGGACACCGCATTTACAGTGTATGCTAGTGGTCACGTGCTGTGTGATTTCAAGCTTGTTAGAGTGGATGGGTATTAAAACTGAAAATAAAGTGTAGGCGTATGGATGTAGCCTTAGTGTCTCGTGACCCGCTGGGGGGCCCCGACCCCTAGTTTGGGAACCACCGATCTCCACAGACATTGAATTTGTGTCACTTAATTTGACATTCAATCTAATATTAGAGTGATTCTCTCCATATATACCAAACCATGTCTCCTTTAAAAAGTATTTATATACTTATAACTAGATAACAGTAACTTTCAACATTACTCCCGATCCAGGAAGTCTCGGATTAGGATAACCAATAGATGATTGGCTTTCATGCTGAGAGTGACTTGAGGATCCATACCACTCTCATGTCTGTCCATTCAGTATGAAGCTACAGCCAGAAGCCAGTTAGCTTGGCATAAACACTGGAAACATAATGAGCCTGGCTCTGTCCAATCTGCCGACCAGCTCCTCTACAGCTCACTAATTAACATGCCACCAGACCAGACACCAGATATATTCTCCTGACAGATATAAGAGCTGCATCCATCTCATCTCACTCTTGGCAAGAATGCCTAAAATGTTTCAAACGTGGAATTATTCCTTTAAGTCAGTACAGTTTGACATGTGGGTATAATGTTCTCGTCTATGATTTCATTTTGACTGGCTTTTAACTGGATGTCAGTCGTTCTCTGCTAGCAGGTTGGTTTCGTGAGACTAAAGCCGTTTTCAGACATGAACTCTGGAAAAGTAAAAAGGAGTTTGCCTTTAACATATGAAGAACGCAACTGAAGATTTCCCAGATCAGACCCTTTCTGAACAAGGAAAATGTCTGGAGAATTCAGGTTAGGAGTGGCACCATGGTTGATCGTGCAGGATGCAGGTTCCTCTAGTAAATTTCAGAAAAATGTGCATGTCTGAAAGCAGCTTCACAGTTATGAAAGGTGAAAGCTTGATTTGATCTGTGAGCCTCTTATGTTGTTCAGCCTCTCTTTGTGTGAAAAGAGTGGCGACCTTTAAACGGCTCATAGCACCTGTGAGACAGATGACCTTGGTTGAGGCTGAGACGGACGACTCCTTCTCTCTCCCAGCGTGGATCTATCAATCTACACCCACTAACATTAGAGACGATTGTGATTCCAATTAATTCCATTCAAATGGACAGCTTTGATGAAACCAAGCGACGCTTGTGTCCCGCTGACAAACAAGAGAAAATGTCACGACTAGGATCCAGCTAAGCCTTGTGTAACTCTCTGTTAAATGTCACACTCTAACAATAAGCTTTGAGGTCAGATTTCATCCAATAATCTACCTGAAACTAAATCTACTGACGAGGCTGTTCATATTAAAAAACGAGGCCAGGTCGTGTCCATCCCGCGTCTCCCTCTTTCTCAAGTCACAGAAAGATTAGAGAGGTACAAAAGGTTTGGTCCCAACTGCTTCAGGAATCATGTAGAAAATATACATTCAAACTTCTGAAGAAAACACACTGAAAGAGTAGAAAATACTGAAACAGTGGTAGGGGGAAAACGAAAGAAAGCAGCGAGAGAAAGAGGGATGGAGGAAAAGAAAACGATGAGGAGGGAACAGCTGAATAAAAGTTCTTCAGAGTAACATACAGACCGGTATGTTAACACAATGCACTTTTGTCAGAAGCATGTTGGATTTTATCGACAAAGAAAAATCCACAACCTCTCATTTATTTACAAAGTGATTCCCTTACAGTGTGTGTGTGTGTGTGTGTGTGTGTGTGTGTGTGTGTGTGTGTGTGTGTGTGTGTGTGTGTGTTTGTGTGTGTGTGTGTGTGTGTGTGTTTGCCTCTATTTAGTCCATACAGGCTTTTGGAGTCTGACCCTATCAATACTGTCATGTTGCCATTAACTCTCATTAAGTAAGATACAGCAAAAACACACTGATGCACACACACACACACACACACACACACACACACACACACACACATATTCACAGTCTCTAATTAGTGTATAGCCATGTTACCTTAAGGCCACTACCCAAACCTAAATGATCCGTAGCTCTAGACCTTTCTAGAATGATTAGTGGCTCTACAGACACCGAACCACTGCAACATTACCATGGTTATTTTTGCAGTTCTTTAAGTTCGACTTGTGAGAGACAGCACTAAGAAAACACGACGCGGGAAAAGCCTCTTATACTTGCATCTCACTGCGAACATGTAAACACAAACACAGCTTGGTGCCTCCACCAACCAGCCCTCCATGACTCCTTCACGTCAGGTTTTTAACTCAGCGTAGGGACAAAACGGATTTCAGTCTCTTCGTCTTCCGCGTGACCCGTTGTTGTTTTTGGGCGCTCCTCTTCACTGGCGCATTTTCTTGTTATCTCTGCCTCACAGTGAAGATGAACTCTGGCTGTAGTTTCTGAGCGTCAGTCTGCTAAACCTGGGTGAAGGGGGAGAGGGGGGGGGATGGGAGGGGACTGGTGGGAGACAGAGGTCTGCCTCAGAGACATGTGAGCTGCTGCTGCTGCTGGACGCCAGAGAGTCACGGAAGGGTGAAGGAGGAGTCAAAGCGATAAGCTCCTCTTCCAGCTCCGCCCGCCTAAGAGGGGAGTCGCTCAGGCAGCTAACCAGGCCTCCGCGCATAGGGGAGAGAGGGGGGGAGCCCTGGGGGTGAGGAGGCAGCAGTGGGTAAGGTGAATGAGGAATAGAGTGAGCGAGGCAGCCACCCCGGCCCCCCAGGCTGGACTCGACAGGTGGGAGGGGCTGGACATCAGCGTAGGTGGTGAGGGTCGGGGCCATGTGCAGTTCACGGGGTAACAGATAGGGGTCGGTGGGGTGAGGGGAAGGGGGAGTGTGTTTGTTTGTATGTGAGTGAGTCGGAGAAGGTGAGAGCATCATGCTGTTGAGCTCGGTGATGTTGGCGGTGAAGCGGTTTACTACGCAGCTGATCTGATCCATCAGTGAGCTCTGGGCCTGCCCTGGGTGATCATCCACGATGACCAGACGACCATCACTCCCAGCGATGACAGAACAGCTGCTGACGGGACCACAACTGCTGCCGCTGCCGCCGCTGCAGATGCTGCTCGGGTACATTGGAATAGCAGACATCTGAGGCTCCTCCCCTAAACCCGTCCCCAGTCTCTGGCTGACCGTGCTGATCGGCGAGGGCGTCTGCGGCTGGTACGTGATCGAATAGCGCTCCTCTGCTTCCGAGAGCTCGTACAGGGTCTTGTCTGGTCCGGCGTCATGATGGGAGGACATGGAGGACATGGAGGGGAGGGAGGGCAGAGGAACGTGCGGGGGAAGGTTGCCTCCTCCACAGTAGCGTTCCTCAGAGGTTTTGGAGAAGGGCTTGATGACGGCGGTCTGATTGTTCTCCTTCTTCTTGATGTGGAAGGACAGCCGCTGCCACAGGTGGTTGCCACGTGTACTGCTGCGCTCCGTCTGCGCCCAGGAAACTGATTTACCGTTGGAGCTGGAAAAACCGGAGGGGAGGAGAAGGTTGTTTTTAATGTTTGAAGGCAGATTTATCACCTTCAGATAAAACCTTTTGGTCAGTTTGGAGTAAAAAAATAAACTTAATTTGTCTTTGCATTAAACAAATTACATTTCTGATTAAAGCTTGGGTTGGTAAAAGTAGAGAAGCTAGCAAGACCAGGGTACACAATGCAACTGATCTATTTATTTACCTATTAAATATATTTTTCAAATGATAAAATAGATGTGTTGCAAAGCATACTAATATATTTTGTAGCAAATCTAAAAGAAATAGATTTATCAGCCAAAGCAACAAAAACACACGTAGCAAATACATTACACAACCAGTTCCTGTTCTGTATTAGCTCCAATTTGTTCTCCTGGATGAGTAATGTAATTTAATAGACACAAACATCTTTAAATGGAGCCTTGATTCAACCACCAATCAGTTGGTCTTCACATGCTGAGTAATTTCATTACAATTCATTTTCCTCCACTAGTTGGTTCTTCATTTTTCCTTGTCAGGTTCTCTCTCTATTTCTTTTAACCATCTTTTTTCCACTTTCCTCTTCACGCACATTTCTTCCTCATATCCCTTTGTCAGGTTAATAAGTGTGATTAATCTATAAATTCTAATTAAACCTCACATCGCCGAGGCTGGGCTGGTAACTGAAATAACCCTGTAGACACTACACACATCCACACGTGAACACACACGCATCCATATGCCGCTGCATGTGTCGACCTGCACACATGCACAGTGAAGTGATCCACTTGTTACATCCCATAGAAAGAGAAGGGTTTGGAGCGTGGAGGACCACTGCTACTGGAAGAAACACATGTTGCACAGAACTTAATTGATCTATTTTACATGTTTCGTATTGTATCCAGCTCTGATGATTATTTTAATGACTGGTGAAGAAACACCAATCAACCATCAGTCAAACATTTGCTTCAAACCATCAGTCAAACATTACTTTCTTTTTTTAAAGATTTCTTTCTTTTTCCCTTGTGGTCCAGCGGTTTCATGTCTGTGCGTCTCTTCCGACGGCACAATGACAGCATCTCAAAGGCAACAGCTCCCAGCCCCACACCCATGAAATAGACAGCCCTGCCAATTACCACCACCCACAGAGGAGGATAGGGCCAAGAGACATGGACAGAGGAGACAAAGAGGATGAAAGAAACAAAGATGGAAACACTTCTGACATTTCTCATAAGAGTGTGATTGAAATCGTGCTTGCGAGAGCCGGAGTAACCTGCTGACAGACGAAAATGTCTTCTTGTCTCCCTTTTCATTCCTGGCAAGTGACGTCACTCCCTTTGTATCCTCTGATCGCTTCCCTGTCACAGTATATGACTTCTGGATGGCCTTAAGCTGGCTGTGAAAGCTATTACTTCTCTTCTTTTCATACCACTCCTTAAGCGCTTTCCTCCTTCTTTTCCATCACTTCTGCTCATCACCTCTCTCTCTCTCCATTCCCACCACCCATTTTGTCTCTCTCTCACTCTTCTCCTTATCTTGCCTTCCTCAGTTCATTCCTGTCTCTCTCCTTTGCCACATCTCCATTAGGCCATTGTCTGCAGTTCATGTTAGGGTCAGGAGAACAATCAGGCAGCTTAGGGGAGTTCAGAGAATCAATCTCTCTCTCTCTCTCTGTCTCACACACACACACACACACACACACACACACACACACACACACACACACACAGTAAATAGTCTCAGAGTGGGGCCATTACAGAAACTGTAACTGAGGACTAACCTGGCATTAACCTGGCCAAGACGTCACTAGTGTACAAACACACGCACACGCACAGGCACACACACACACACACACACACATACCTGAGTGTCTCTCCAGTGGAGCCTCTGCGTTTCCACAGGTTAACCAGACTAGATGAACGGCTGGCAGCTGAGGAAGATTTGCCATCACCCACGTGCATGCGCACCACGGTGCTAGTGGTAAAGGCACTGCGCACGTTACGCTCCGGTTTGGCCAAAATGATGTACACCTGATAGAAATGAAAACACAAAAGGACCCGTTAATTTAGAGCAAACATAGAGCTCTAATAAACATACAATTCTCTAAAGAGGCAGCTAATTGTTTTTATTGATTGCATTTCTTATTCAGCTCCACAGGATATGTAGCTGTTAGCACATAAGTGGGAGAAACCATAACACAGGATAATATTTGAAATGGGTTTTCCACTTCAATGCAGACATTAAGTGAGATTTAATTTCAGTTTTTTAATTATTTATTCATAAACTTAACTTGAACCCTCATGTGTAGTTTATGGGAGTTCTGCCAGTGCATTACAACTCTCCATGGTCACAAGCAAGACATATTTTAGCGCATTATAGTCTTGTTTAAGTTTTCAAACATTGTACTGTATTGTGTGACTATGACTGCAAAAAGTAATAATACAGTGAAATACAAGTGTTTCTTTACAGCAGCCATTCAGTAGAAATTAAACTAAGGTGATAGTAGTTGCATGAATGAATGCTGCCAACTACGCAGACAATTCCAACAAACGAGTTGAACCATCATATATGTGTTTAACGACTATTCCATGTCAAATTGGCTGCCTCCAAAAAAAGGTCAATCGCTTGTTAAGTGTGACATCACGTGTTTATTACTGATGCATCAATAAGAGTAAAAAGGGACTAAATTCCTCAAAGAGTAGGAGCACACACACCTGACTAGTTTATTCCACTTCATTATATCTTCAGACAGCTCAGTCTAGCTATCTAACATTAGAAGACACCAGCTTTGTTTTTATGTCTATTCCACCATCTGAGATCTACAATTACAGCAAGGGACACCGCACTGCGGCATCTCGAAAATACCCGAGCTTGGACCCTCCAATGACTTAACAACCAAGAACAGCCCCAGTGACAGACAAAATACAGACTGAAACATTATCAAAACTTTCCAGACATATGAAAAATCTGACTGCACATTTTTGTTTCATTGTTGAAAAATGGCAAATGTTCGGTGTATCAGTGTATAGCTGCAAATATAAACACAGATACTGTCAGCCAATCAACAAATCATTCTGGTTCTACTGACGAGCTTCCAAAAACATATTACTGGTGTCTTGAAGCAGAAACTGTGACTGAAACATGTGAAGAAACAGATAAAACAAACAAAATAAAAGAGTGATTTATTCTTTAGCTTCAGCCTTACCTTGGGTACAAACATGCAGCACAGAGCCACAGTGGCACTGAGGCTGACACTGAAGCACATGGTGATAATTTTGTAGTTGGACCCAAAGTAGATGGGTACAAAGGCCAGCCAGATGATACAGGTGGTGTACATGGTGAAGGCGATGTACTTCGCCTCATTAAAATTAGCCGGGACGTTGCGGGTCTTGAGGAGAGAAAAGTGAAAGAGAAAGAAAAGACAAGTAAGAGCCTTATTCAATCATTTCTATACAGCTGCTAAAGATAAGACTGTGTTCGCTGCGAACCATTTGCCTTTGCATCACAGTTTGATACATTATGTGAAACGTGGGGTCACAACCCAACCACCCCCCAACCACCAGTTATATTGGTTTGTTCTGCTGCTGTGTAAACACAGAAAATGTATTTGCTTGATGTACAGTCTATTTCAGCTGCTGTCTCTTTTCACCACTGGGCTCTCACTCGCTGCAGGCCACCGCTAATTAAACATTGACTCTTTTATGTGTTTGTTGCAGTAAAATTTCATTTACTGCTGTTGAAAGGTTGTAGAGCAGCAATACATTACCAGTGGTTTCATCATTGCTGTTCTGTTGTGTGATGATGTGCACTGTACAAATTGTAAAAAGAGACATGTTCATATACTTAATAACCTATGGATCCAACTACAGCTTTAAAGCACCCAGTTATTGTCAGTATATCTTATCCTGTGAAGATTTAGGACTTTTTCATTTTTCAGCATATTCAATATTTTAATTCAGAACTGTAATGTTGTAATTACACTTCTGTTAGTACCTTGAAGGCATAGAAGGTGCAGCTGAGGATGAGCAGGCCGTTGTATCCCAGCGGGGTAACCACACCCAGGTTGGTGGTGTTGCAAATGAGGTTGACCTGGCGGATGCTGGGGTAGTCATGAATCACCTGAAATAAACAGGAGGGAACATGGGATCACAAATAAGAGAACCTGAAAAGGCTTTTGCAACAACAATTATTTTCTTCATGGGAACACAGCATTTAAAGCTCCATCGGTGAGTCCAGCTGAAAGTTTGTCAAATAGTAACAAACAATGTAAAAGACCTCTCACACACACACACACACACACACACACGCACACACACACACAGGATACCTCAGGTGGCTCCATGAGGAAGAGAGCCACGATGATGCCCAGCTGCAGCAGGATGAGGAGGAAGGCAATGATGAGCTGAGCGCAGGCCGACATGAAGCGAGGTTTCTTTGTGCAGATTTTTTTCTTGCTTCCCGCCAGGATCCGAGCGATGCGGTTTGTCTGTGGTCACATCACAAACAACGTCAGGATATTTTCATTAACTATACACTGAGCACACTGGACCTTCCATTTGCGCCATTATTTGTGAGTAAACACAGGAGGTCACAATATTGTGATATAAACTTAGGGTCATTTCTAAAGCAGTGTAGGATTGACCTATACCCTGACTTCTGATGTAACGATTCCCATATCCCCTATTTATAAAAAGGGATAACAATCTTAAATTTCCTGTTTCTTATTCAGTCCGCACAGCCCTGCTTCCACCCACAGAAGTAGATGTGTCCTTTACCCCCGAACCTCTCACATTTGCCACAGCTTTTATCTCATACTCACTTTGCAAAATTCTTAATTCCGTCCTCACCTTAGTGACAAGTGCAGAGTAGCTCATGGCAGGTGAGAGGCCGATTCCCAGTCGTTGGAGGTAGCAGTGGATAACGTGGGGTTTAGCTATGAGGCTGAAGGTGCACAGGTAACCCAGGCAGATCCCTGCCAGTATTATGTAACACAGCTCCCGACTGGAAGATTTCACCACTGGGGTGTCCCGAAATCTAAATACAGATATGTTTATTCACTTATGTGCACAAATATGGAAAATGAAGACATATAGTGTATATAGAAGGATTTCAACACACACAGGAAACACAGACTAAGAAAATTGTAGAAATAAGCAGGTATTAAACTTTCTATTTCTATAGTGCATTGTTATCTACAGTTCTATCCTCCGTTTACATGTCTCAGAGATTAGAGATTTGTTACCTGATGAAGACGGCAGTGACAAAGAATGTGGCCATTAGACCGAGGCAGGCGAAGACCAAAGCAGCTATTGGCTCAGGGTCTCCCCACCGCAGGTACTCAACTGGGATTGGGTCACAGCCTGGAGATAAAGGGATAGATTTCTTGAAACAAAATTAATCAAGAGCTTTTACCTCAGCTAGGGAGGTTATGTTTTCTCTCCTGTCTGCATGTTTGGTCTGTTTGTTTGTCAAGGGCACATTGGACATGGACAAAGAATGAACCTATTCAGTTTTGGAATTTTCCCAGGAATTCTTTTCAAATTTTCTTTCACAGTGTGAGATAAAGCATTTTTTTGACATTTTCACCAATTTCCCAGAGAATAATGTATGGATCTTGATCAGGCATGTTTGATAAGCCAATATCTAGTGATTGGTGCAGATCCAATTAAAATCAGGCTTTTTTCACCCACTGTATGGTAACAAATATGGCATCAAATCTGTAGCTACCGCCACTGTGAAGCTGATATAATTTGGATTTAGTAGAGAATCAACAGTTTATATGAATCTTCAATAGTTTTAGAACTATGTCCAAACGAAAATGGTGCCCACTTTAAATGGCCTTTCTAGTTTGATGTGTGTGAAGGTCAGCAACTGAACAATACAGAGAAAACCTGAGGTTTATTTCTTTTGTCAACATTTAACCCTGTATTGATATCTTTCTCTGCCTTTGTATCTTTTAACATCAAGCTTTCACCCACATCTGCTCAGGTGAACCATTAGTGTGCAGCAAACCGTACAGGTCAGGGATAGTTGGAGCTGCACATCTCCATGTGGGAAAGTTAAGTGACTGTCCTGTACTGACGCCTCTGTCACACACACGCAAATGTCGCGTGTCAGAGTTCATCAAAGTATAACTCTGAGGACGCCACGCAGAAGATGTGCTTTGCTACAAATGTTTTATTCGCCTCCTCACACTCACAGATTGGAAGTGAACAGGAGGTGAAGGTTCACGATTGTTATATTCGTAGTATTTGTAGCCGAGCCTAAAGACCGCACCTGATCCTGACTGTGTGATACTGTGGGTCAGCAAAGGAATTAAACATGATTAGGAAACATGGGTATAGTTGAATTAGTGTGTGTGATTTTTTTCAGTTACCATCAATCTGTATCAAATCCATTAATTAAACATATCCAGCCATTAATAAAATATTATACGGATTACTCCACATGGCACCTTCATTAGCCACTGCTGCTCGACGCTGCTCACCTGCTATCTTCTGTTTTGAAACATACTTTTCTCCCTGCATTACAGATTTCTCTTCTGTCCACTCTCTCCTCTCCCTCCATCTGTGCCTCTTCTCCTCTCCTTCATCCTCTCTGCTCATGTCATTCAACCTTGATCCCTTTCCTGTCGCTCTTTTTTTCTTTTCTGTAGTTCTCATCCATCACCCTGTTCCCATCTTTCCCCACATCTCTCTTCCTCCTCACTCGTACCACATTTCTCCCTAATTCTCTCCCTCCACCTTCCTCCCCCCAGCTCTGTCTTCCACGTAGGCCTGGAGATAAAGAGCCATTAATTAAAGGGACATTTTTAATTATGATCTGTCCTAACACTTGCTGAAATTATCCAGCTGGTTGGTCTGGACGTACCAGAACAGCAGGGGCACACATAGACTGAAACCTCCCGTCAGTCCACATCATCCTTACTCTTTCCTTTCTGTCTATCTTGCTCTTTTCTCTGTCTCTCAGAAACACACACACACGCACGCACACACACATGCACACGCACACGCACACACACACACACACACACACACACACAGACCTGCTTGTATAGAACTGGAAATCGCAGAGGGAGGATAAGACAGAATAGTCATTTAACAGAATTAAGTAATTTAATGACTTTGTCTTAACACAGTCATTAAACTTTATTAAATCAGAGATTGGTTTGGTCTAGGGGCATCAACAACAGTGTAATTGCTGAAAAGGAACCATGTGGATGGTAGCAAACAGAAACAGAAATTTTTGTTAAGGATGCAGCTTTCATATAAATCATGATTCAAAACACTGAGTTCTAACTCATGCAGCCTGGGAAAGACAGAATCTTTCCCGTCTCGCCAGGTCTCCCCTGTCCACAGGTGAGGACCACCCACCTGTGAAAAATCTGTGATGGGCAGAAAAGTGAGAACCTGCAGAGAAATGAATCCTGGCCACATCAATCTAAATGTTGGGGCTGAAAATCCCAGATCAGTGTGTTTCTCATGGGTGTTGTAAGCATCGACTACCTCTGCAAATTAAAACTTAATTAGTTCACAGGAGCTGCAGGAAATCATGTCGTGTTTGACCCCGAGCCAAACTGCTGCGTTGGGGGGAGGGTGACGGTTCGGAGGGTTTCAGTCAATATAAAGTTTTGAGGAAAACTCGCTTAAACGTTCTCAGACTCAGACTTGTGGAACTTTACTCATCAGTGGAGAGACTCAAATCCCAAAGCTAATCCTCCCTTTTCCATTTTTCTGCTCCTCTCCCTGGTCGCTGCCTCTGCCACAGCCTCTATTCATCTCATCTCTCCTCCTCTCCCGCTCTCTTTCATACTCACTCTCAGCATCTCTTCATGTTTGAAAGTCAATTCTCTCTCACTGTCTTTTTTCTTGTTGTTATGCTAAATTGCTGTCCCCTAAACTCTCCCATTGCTTTCTGTCCTTATTCACACCCACTTTACCTCTGGTCCCTGCCAGCTGAGACCTTGTACTATTCCCTCTGCCCCTTTATCTCTCCCCCACTTTGTCTCCTTTCTTTATGGCCTGAGGGAGATGGATCAAAATGTCTGCCAGAGGAGCAGGGCAAGCAGTTTGTTTACACCTCATTATTACTGTTTCTATATAACCCCCCGCTGGGCGACACGCAGCATTTACTGTTGATGAAATGAGTCACATACTCACACAGATGTGAACAAACATACTAAAAAAAGTTAGATATCTGTAACCCCAGACACACTTTCCATCCTCTTCCTCCCCTCGTCTTTCAGTGTCTACTTTCTCTGTCATTTTCTCCCTGTTTCACTCCCTGTTTTAGGCGGAGGACGCTTCTGTCTCTGGCACAGATGCTCAATCTGAATTTTCAGCAGGGCTCGGTTCATGTTTTAATCATCGAGCATGCTGAGGAGCTAGCAAAGCATTGTAATGAGCAGCATACAAAAACCAACCGCTTTGGATGCAGTGGAGGGGAAATAGGTTTTCATTGAAACTGAGATGCATTTGCATTGAACGTTCATCGTCAGAAGGAGGATGAGGAGAGGAGAACAGAGGAGAGGAGGAGAGAGGAGAGGAGGAGAGAGGAGAGGAGAAGAGAGGAGAGGAGACACAGAGGGTTTGTCTCTCTGTTTATCTAATATAACTGGTAGAGGACTTATTGTATCGTAGTAATAATACTGCTGTTATAGCACATTGAATCAGAGAAAATACACACACTATCTAATTCCACTAACACACACAGGTTTGTGCAGCTATCCTTATTAAGACTTTATATTGACTTTCATTAATTGTAGACAGTCAAATCAAAACATTATCCCTTAACCATGATCAATTCATACCTAACCATTACTTTAACCTGCCCACAATTCACATCTTACCACTAGTCTTAACCAGGAGCTCATAAATTAAGTTATGCCTTATTAGGACCGAGCTTTGATCCCCATGAGGTCTACTGGTCCTGACAAGGTCAGTGTTAATGCTGGAAAAGGTCCTAACACACACACACACACACAAGCACACATGTCTATGTGACTTCAGAGGACATTACATTGCTTATATTGTTTTCCTGAGGACTTACTCTAACCTTAATTCAAACCTAACCTTAAAAAAAGTCTTTGCCTTAATTCATATTTAAGATCTGTTAAATATCAACACCGCTACCTCCCTGATATTAGAAGGTTTTATGCAGGAGCATGGTTAAAACAAAGTCGTTCCATGAGTTCACTGTGGTGTTTCTGTTCTTTCTGCTCTTGTGTGTGACTTCAGGTTAAAAATAAACACACAGACACTGACCTGTGAGGTCATCAGTGGGCCACGAGCCCAGCTCACAGGCTCGGCAGGTGTACTCGTCGAACACAAACTCGTTTTCTTTGCAGGGAGTGCACGTCCAGCAGCAGCTCACCTCACCTTTACGGATCACCTAGAAGAGGCACAGTGTGCATTGTAACTGTTTGCCTGTTTCTTCCAGTACCAGTGAGCTGGATTATTCATCAGTGTCAGCTCAGTTCTAGCAGCCACTGTATCCATATGGAGCTTTTCTTTTATTATTTAAATTCCTTATGACCAATGCTGATAAGAATTTGACTGGCCTATAAGAAACTGTGTCATGTACAGTCCTTACCACTGCTTTCTATTTTTCAAGGTCAAACAAAAATTACTTTTTTAATGATTCCTTATTACAGAATAGGTAAACTAGACACAGAACAGCAGGTAAATAGAAATGATATCTGTGTAAGTCTTATTTACCTTAATCTCTCCTTTGGCACAGGGTTCACTGCAGACTGACTTGATGATGGCCTCTTTGTTGGGCCAGATTTCATCATTGTCTATCTTCAAGCCACGGTTGTCCCAACTGCCAACATTAATGTAGTCGTAGTAGTCTTTCCCCATCTTTTTAAAGTTCATTATCTCATACCTGTACACAAAAAGAGCATGTGTGAAAACATGTTACACATAAATATATCATTTCAACTTTGCCACCTAAAATGCCATAAAAAAGAGAGGATGTAATTTCTGTAGTTACTGCACTCACCTGCCGGGTGAGTCTCCATTCTCGTCAAATAAGATTCCCTCCCCTGACACGCCGGTGAAGTTAGTTTTCATCAGGAAGTCCAGCAGTGTGGCACCATCTATAGGTCGCATGGCATCACATAGACCCTTAAAATACATGGACAGTCGCGTCATGAAAAACACATATGTCCTGATCCACATGTTCAGGTTAGAATCTGTAAAAGTAACTTTCAATTGTGGTCAATGGTCATTCATGATAAAACTGAATGCAGCAGCTATAAAGTAGTTTAAAAAGTTCCTCCAGTTAACCTTAAACTGTATATTCAAAGTATGATGATTATTGCAACACTGGAACTCTAAATCATACCACAAAGCATCATCCATACAAATGACATGAAGACTGAAATTGTAAGACTCACAAAAAGTAACATATAGAATAAAATACAGATTTACTGATTGAAATTGCCTAAATGTTCTTCTATTTCATGTGAGCCTGTATAAATTATTGAGAAAACATCTGAAAAAATCTCCCAATATTAAAGAAAGTTAATAAATTCCCTGATCTGATAATACCTTTATTAAACTTGCTCCAAAATCAAATGAGTTTTCTCTCGGACCATACGTCACCCTTCCACCAAGTTTCACTTAAATCGCTTCATTAGTTCTTGTGTAATCCATAAAACACACAAGCAGATAAGCAGCAATGAAAACATAACCTCCCTGGCAGAGGTAAGTAAGGGGCCCATGGAAACAAGTTGTACTGTAACATGGCAGCAAAAACCCATTTGGCACCTTCTTTTTTTTCCTTCATCTCTTTGAGTCTTAGTGTCCCTCTATTCATTCATCACAGTGGTACCAACCTGATAACCTGGGCAGAGAGCCCGCTGCATATTATGCAGGCCATATGCCATTGAGTAGATGGCATTGATGACGAACCCCATCTTGGTGTCCTGTGCGTACTGCTGCCGAAGCGACTCTCGCTCTGCAGAGGTGGGAGGGCAGGGACAGAGGAGAAAGGAAAAAAAATTCTGGTATATCAGTGCAAGTCTTAATTTCAGGTTTTCTTTCTAATTTTATAAAGGAAAGTGTTTTTCTTTTCTTCCTGACATCAAAGACTGCTCTCTCCCCTTTTCTCATCGTCCACTTCCCCCTTCGCATCTCATTCCTTTCTGTCCTGTTTCACATCCCATTTCATTAGAATAAGTGAGACATGACTCCCTTTGATGCAGCTCTCATGCACTGTTTTGATTAATGGAGGAACCGAAACAGAGAGGGACGGGGGACAGACAAATACATGGACATAAAGAGAGTGCACTCGTAGCCCCAAAGGGTATGAACAGATGAACAGGAAAGTTGTGTGTGTATGGTTTTGTACAGAATGTGTGTGTTCAGGGTGTTTTTTTGCATATTATGTGAGTGTATGTTATTTGCGTTAATACTGTCCTATCAATAAAAGCAGATTGACACTGTAGCCTGTGATGTGAAAAATGTATTTTCCCAAATATGTCTCAAGGGATTTTACAATAAACAATAATAAACGTAACTGGTTTTGCTAACAATCCCTCGTCATGAAGAAAATGATATTAAAGTGCTGTCACCACAGAGAATTCCCCTGACTGCCCGTTTACTTATGTTTCTTATTTTCGGTCTGTACTCACTGCTACAGGTGCGGTTGTACTTGCTGCTCTCCTGTGGGTGGCCTTTAATCCGACAGTGAAAGCGATGCTGCCAGAACTCTGGAAACCAGGGGTTCCGGAGGTTGTTCTCAGGCCGAAGTTTAAGATAGTACTCGTCAAACCACTTCACGTCGGCCGACTGGAGCTTGATAGTAATACCACCGGCTGCCTCCCGGACAAATCCGTCCGTCACGTCGTACCTGTCTGCCCATCCGTCACTGTCACAGAACACAAGGAACGACAAGCAGAACATTTAAGCAAAGCTTTTAATTTATATGTGAGACTTGAAAAAGGGTCAAACAGTCCAAAGTTAATTTTCATCATTTCTTTGTGGTAGCGTTGTTCTTTAATACAAAAGACTTCTGCAGATTTTGCTGCACTGGTTGTTGAGGGAAAATTTGATTGGACATATTCTCATTTTCAAAGATAAAAAATTTGTGAGGAGACTGAGATAGAAGTATGACGACAACCTTTCTTTGTGTCCAACCATTGTAAATGGACATCCTTAAAATAACATGATGTCAACTTGAGGACAGTCTCGCTCAGTGTTAAGGACACATTTTTTCCTGCAGATAAAGTAGGTCTTATTGAGTATGATGCAGTCAGAGAGAAGAAGTGTCTTCTTTAAGTTTTTTACATTTGTTTGAACTTAAGTTTCCCAGAGAATTTCTGTGTGTGTGTGTGTGTGTGTGTGCGCCAGCCGCCCTGGTAAAATGTCAACAAAATGTCTGAGCGAGCCCATGTGACAATACAGCAGGAAAATGTCAAGTGAGGCAGTGGGCGTGTTGATGACGTTTCTAACACATAATAGACGCAAAACTGGAAGATTACAAATATCTCAAGATGTAAAAGAGGTGCCATACACATAGAAGTACCAGACAGACATGTCATCTTGGAAAAATATAACAAATACACTTATGCCGATGAGCCATAAACAAAAACACTCTGCTTTCCGAAGCAGAACTCATTCATGATGTCCTGCCTGCATGCTCTACTCAGGTGCCAGCCTTCACCTGAATGTTTCAGAAATGTTCCTGTTGTTGTGAACACATTTGAATTGGACAAACTCTCGCTGCATTCTTCATATGTGAAAGGTAAATTCCTACAGATGCTTTTAAATGAACTACAGTTGCTTAGTGTGTGTGTGTGCATGTCTACGTGTGTGTGCATGTCTACGTGTGTGTGCATGTCTACGTGTGTGTGTATGTCTACGTGTGTGTGCATGTCTACGTGTG